CATGCCAGCTGTGCCAGCTGGGATACACCAAACCTACCCCGGGGCTAACATGTGGCTGTTTTGCCCCTTTTGCCCCCTTTTGGTCAAAGCTTCTTGAGGAAGCTTGACCCTTTGTCAAAGCTTCCTCAAGAAGCTTGGCCAGCTGTCTTAGCTTCCTCAAGAAGCCTTGACCTCCTTGCCCCCTTTGCCCCTTTTTACTTAGCTTCTTTGAGAAGCTTAGAACCATTTCTTTTGCCTATATAAGTTCCTCTCTTCTTCCATTGTAGAGGGTTAGAGATTTTGAACAAAAAACCAGAGATTATACATATATACATCTGTCATATACTCTCTCTCTATATATTTCCCTCTCTCTCATCCTTAGTGTGTGTTTGGAGGCCTAGAAAGTGTGTTTTGACCTTAGTTTTGCACTAAGACACACACCATTACACCTTTCTTCGACCTTGAGGGGCTTTGAGGGTTTGTTTTTGAAGTTTTGGACTGATTTTGGTCAGAAGAGAGTGGCTGGACCAGCTATTCTTGAAGTGTTCTTCAAGGGTAAGACTTTTGCTTTATTTTCCCCAATCTTGCATTAGTTTTTGACCTGCCTTGCATGCTGATTTAAGCTTTGTGTATAACATAAAAAAGTCTTGTATTTGCATGCTTGAGATCTTTCATTAAGGTCCTTTTGTGGTTCGGGGTCGACCTCCCCCTCTTAGGCCTTGTTTGGCCCTTTTGGTGCTTTTTTTCTTAAGCTTTGGTTACTCTTGAGTCTTGGCCTTCTCACCACTAAAATCCAGTGGATTTTCAGTGGTGAAGAAGGGGTTTTGAGGTCTTGTAAAGGGGAGGGACACCCCTCTCTCTTAGTCTCTCATTTTTGCATATTCCTGGCTTATAAGGGTAGCATGCATGATTAGGTGTTTTTGGTCCCATTTCAGGGGGTTTTGTATGTTGTTGGGTCCTAATATGCCCTTATATTTAGTCGGATTAGTGCTCTCTTTCATGCTTAATACATTTGCTTTGTATTCCCTTATTTGGCCTAGAAGTGCATCATCCCTTTAGACCGCCATGCTCTCATGTTTTGATCTTGCTTTGTAAAGTTCTTGGCATTATTTTTCCATGCTTAAGGTCTGTTGGTTACTGTTTTGGTCATGCTTGACATGTTTGATATAGTTGCTATGCATTTTGGCTTGTGAGCCTTAAAGGTGTGGGTCATAAACATGCCTTAGTTAGGCTTTTTCAGTGATTTGGAATCACTTACCATACCATATTAGTCCATGTTTTGTGCTCAAATGTTCGCATCTATCATTCCTTCCATGCCTTGAAGAAGTCTCCTTTTATGCCTTGGAATGGAGCATTGTGCATGCCTTGTGTTTAAGTCTTTGGGATGCCATGTGTGCGGGTTTTGGGGCTCATTCTAGCATGCCATGGCACTGATTTTGTTGGTCTAATGTCCATGTTTGCCTTCTTTTGGTATGCTTGAGAATTGGCCTTCATGCCTTAGTCTTAGGCTCATTAGTTTGCATGCTTATTTTGCATGATTGGCATCATCATTTTAGTGCACTTAGGCCACTGTTTTGGGGTAGGCTGAGGCCTTCTCATTTCAGTATAAGTCCATCTTTGCATACTTTGCATGTTTGGCATGTTACATTGTATTGGTTGCATGCTTACATTGCATTACATTTGCATGTTTGCATGTTGTTTAGCTAGTTGCATTGCATGGTTGGTCATTGCATGCTTGCATGATAGATTGCATTGGATTTGACATGTTTTGCATCTTAGCCTTATGTTGCATAACTTGAGCCATGTTTGTATACATGCATTGCATTGCTTGGTTTGGGGTGTCAAACCAAGCATGAGGGGTAAGGTGTGTTCATACTCGAAGTGACGAAACACGTCTCAACCCTAGGTTGCCGACCCTCCTTAACCTCAACATGATAGGGCATTGGCATTCATCTCTTTTGGTTGCATACATTTACATCAAATTGCAAACTTGGCCTCTTAGGCCATCATGCATCAAAAGTGCACAATTGATGGCCCGAGGGTCGAGGGTCATACTCCCTTGAGTCCATTACATGATAAGGAATGTGGTCATGCTCACATTTGCTCAAAATTCCATGCCATACACTGCCTTGCCCTCTGCTGCTGTCAACTGCAAGTTCTGCAGGAATTTCTGGCCGACCGGCCACATACAGTGCCGACCGGCCATCCTTTGGTGGCCGATAGCTTTATCAAAGGCCGATGAGCATTTACTACGGCCGGTGGTCATCCCTCCCAGCTGGTGGTGTTCCACAGTGTGAAAAGAACCTATCCTGAGACTTGTGTAGTTTTCAGGGGAGCTAGGCAGTGTAAACAGAGGCAGCAATGCTATGGCAGCGA